ATAAGGACCTTGGTGGATAGTTTTGGGCACTTTGGTGGGGGGTAAAGGTGCAGTGTACATCAAAACAAGGCATGTCAACATTATGTAACCATTTTACCTAAATGAAACTAAAAATAAAACAGAGTCTATGGAATGCTCAGCTATAGTGTGCTGTTACTTTCAAATGTGAGATTGGAGATGCAAGTTTGATCCCTAGTACTGCACTATATGACACAGTGTGGGCCCCACAGTGGTGTCTGGTGAACCATGTATGTGTGTGAGAAGAACAGCTAAGTGTGCTACTCTCTGTGAGACCACTATCATTGTAGAAACTGCAACAGGGAGGGGGTATGGTGCTGCCAGCAGGTCAATCTGTACCTGTGAGGCGAGTGCATCAGCAGCCTGATGGTACCATCAGACTTTTAGATACCCCCAAATTGCTGCTGTACCTTTGGCTAGACCACAAAAACATGGGGCAAAGTTTACCAAGAAAGTAAACAGCCAAAAGTTAGGTATGTGGCCACACACCCACAAACCACCTCCGGCTCAGCTATATAATTGGAGGCATGGCCTCTCTGGTTCCTGATTGAGCTGCTTAATGGCCATGATCCCAGAGACTCAGAAACAAATCTCAGAACCCAAAGGCTTTTGGCAGAAATGCATCCTGTTCCTATGGTAGATTACTGGTGCTGGGCCACTCCAGGTGGGAATAAGTTTTGTGCCTTGGCCTGTTCCCTCTGGTGGCCCGGTAACCATCATCCTCCAGAGGCCACCTGACAGTCACGTTTGGGCCTGCAGTGATGAGACACGCAGGGCCTCACCAGATGGGGCTGGAACCGGGCCCTTCCTCCCCATCCTAACGAGACCCCAAGTCGCTGCCTACATATGGCTTTTCTAGCTCCTGATCAAGCTGATTAACAGCCATGATCCCAGAGACTCAGAAACAAATCTTGAAACCCAGCGGCTTTTGGCAGAAATGCATCTGGACTGCATACAAGGTGGCCGCCGCCTCAGAGCTTATTGGAAAGCCAGGTATGAGCCGGTGGTGATGGGGCAACTGCAGTCTCATGGGAAGGGGGGCGGTAGCAGCTTGTCCTTCATGCCCTACTGAGGTCACGAGTTGCCTCCCAAGAGCGGCTCTCTGGCAAAGAATAAATAACCTTTCTTAGAAGACTTTGTATTAGATATGTATACCATGATGTCATAGAACTATCTTATACTTATTTTTTTGCAATGAGGAGTCTAGGGACTGGGATGTGGTTCAGAGCACTTGCTTTGCATGTGTGAGGATTAATTCCAGACTCAGCCCCCACATCCTCAAATTAAGACAGGGAGTCTATTGAAACAATGGATTTACTTGTCATTAGATGTATTAAAAAAAAAAGGAGATGAGACTTTTGTAAGACATGGTTATGGAAATTTGTATCTCTAGTGTTATGGATGTTATTTTTGAATATAGTTATCCACTACAATTAATATAGAATTAATGGGTATATTCCACATATTACATATTTGATCTTTAAATTTCTTTAAAAGAATTGTTGCAGTCTCACAAGGACATTATTCATGAGAATAAGAAGAAAGAAACAAAACCAAAACCTAAAACGAAAAATAGACAAGATTTCTTTCTTGTAATAGTTTTCATCCTTGGCTTCATCTTAAATGTTCCTTTTAATTAATTAATTTATTATTAGTGAAACACTGTGGGGTATAGTTACAAACTTACAAACTTTCGTGTTTGCATGCAATGATAGTTTACCCATCCCTCCACCAGTTTCCATTATCCCCCACCAATGTTCCCAGTTATCCCTTCTACCACCCCCACCCCATCCCCCACCAACCTACCTTGCATCAGTGGCAGGGCACCGTAGCACTGTCCTCCCGTTGTTCATCGATTTGCTTGAGCAAGCCCAGTAAGGTCTCCATTTTGAGACTTGTTACTGTGTTTGGCATATTGAATACATCACAGGTAGCTTGCCAGGCTTTTGCCGTGCTGGTGAGATAATCTTGGTAGCTTGCCAGGCTTTCCAAGAGGGGTGGAGGAATCGAACCTGGGCCCACCAGGTCGGCCGTGTGCAAGGCAAACGCCCTATCCTCTGTGCTATCGCTCCAGCCCTGGGTCTATTATTAATAGGCATGTATACTCTGGCTCAGAGACTCATTTTAGTCATGTCTTATGGGCATATACACGGGGAATCTAGGTGTTAGTAGCTTAGTACTTGAGAATCAGAATAAAGAGTTGATATGATGAATAATTGATATAATAAATGAGGTGAAACACTGTGAAGCATTTTTATCCAATTTAGAGAAAAAGTAAAGGACACATAATGCTCATGTCAGATTTTCCCATATGAGTAGCAACTGAATGGGTATTGGCTCTTGGGATTGATTATTTTGTTCTTTGATACAATGTGATCAATTCCTTTTTGACACAACAAGGACCAAATAGCCACTATATTCTGTGAAGACCAACAAATAAAATACAGGATGGCCAGGTAAATTTGAATGCCAGGAAAATAATAATTTTTAGCATAAGCATGTCCCAAATAATGAATGGATATTATTTTTGTTTACTAATCCCCAAACTGACTTCTTTACTATCTTGATTGGATTTTGGAGTATTGAAATTCTTTTGCCATACGCATAATTTCTTGTTTTATCTAAACACTGACTACCTTTATATTATACTGATTTAACTTTTTCTTTTGTGTGTGTGTGGTGGAGGGACACACCTGTCAGTGCTCAGAGCTGACTCCTGGCTCTGGACTCAGAAATTATTCCTCACCAGGAATAATTTTTGAGGGAACATATGAGATGCCAAGAATCAAAACCCAGGTTGACTCTGTGAAAAGCAAAGCAACTTTTACCTGCTGTGCTGTTGCTCTGGCCCCTCCTGATTTAATTTTTTAGAGAGCAACGTTGTCTGGTTTACAGTTTGTACATGTTGGAGTGGAAGACTGGATCTTATTATCACTGCCATGTACCAATAGTTGTTGTTGACATAAATTGCATTAATTAGTTATTTTCGAAATACAAACCTGTTCTGGAAGGACAAAAACAAGTATAAATGAACTGTAATGTGATTATTTTACTTTTACTGCTTAGCTGAAATAATTTGTATTGAAGAAAAAGGAAACAGGAATTCTATTACAGGAGGAGGGTAATTATGGGGAAGGGAATACAGTGTAAAGCAGGTCTGTGGCATGGACAGATTAGTTCTGCAGTTGGGATTAGAGTATGTTGGGTTTCTAAGGAAGAGAACAACAGGATGTTAGGAGTGCAGGAAGAAAAAAAGTAGTAAAAAACAAAACAAAAACAAAGACTTTTGATATTTCAAGTGTGGGTGTAGGGCTGGCTCTAAATGCCAGGAAGATGTAGTCTCTTTTAGCTACTCCTTATTCTTGTTCCGCTGCTCCAATCCGATTGGCTACTTTATTTATTTATTTATTTATTTTAAACCAGCGCTTTTATTTACCTGTTTCTAGGACGATTTTGTTGACTAGCTGGGACTTTTACCATGTAATATGACATTTGTTTTTATGAGAATTGTCCTGAGTTTCACGTGACTTTTACATTTATAAATAAAGCACTGTAGCACTGTCCTACCGCTGTTCGACGATTTGCGCAAGCGGGCCCAGCAACGTCTCCATTGTGAGAGTTGTTGTTATTGTGTCTGGCATATTGAATACATCATGGGTAGCTTGCCAGGCTTTGCTGGGCTGGCGAGACACTCTCAGTAGCTTGCCGGGCTCTCCGAGAGGGGCGGAAGAATTAAACCTGGGTTGGCCCAGTCAACTGCGTACAAGGGCAAACACTCTACTTGCTGTGCTACCGCTCCAGCCCACATTTATAAATAAAATATAAAAATATTTTTTTGAATCACCATGAGATAGATCATTACAAAACAGTTTATGATTGGGTTTCAGTCACACAGTGTTCCAACTATAAGTATAACATTGAAATATAACTTGGTCACGCTGGATGTAACTTAGCCATCTCCTGGACACTGGGTACTGGTACTGGCCATAGCATAGGTATTATATTATATTAAACACACATCAAAAGCAAAAGCAAATCTTATAGATGTAAGTCTATTGAATTGCGTTCCGCTTCTCTACTATTGTAGCCTGCTTTTCTAGACATGCAGGGCTACTTTCTACAAGGAATGTAATGGATAACTACATTCTTAGGCATATGTCAGGTTGTGGTCATAGGTGAACAAGACCTCGCACTGATTTCAAGGTGTTTACAAAGTGGAACCAAGACGGCTATTGCAAAGAAGGAAGTTAATAAACACGAGGTAACATATATGAAAAGTGTGTTGCAAACGTACAGTGGTGGGGATTATTTTAGAATGGGTCTTTAGATTCCTGAGAATTCTTCCTATTCATGATTACGAAGAAATGAAAAAGGAAACCAGGTCCTTGACAGACCCGAGAATGAGGCCATCCATGCATCCCAGGTAAACACATCAGTCCTAAGATCTTGGGTAAGCTACACAGTCTTCATAATTCCATTCCTGCCACAGGAACATTATTAGCACTTATCTGTCAGGGATTGTGCCTTGAGTTAGGATTACGAACTCAATACACTGCATTTCTTTCTAGCACTGATTTTCAACTTCTCTGCGAGGGCGAGAAAGGACCACTTTGTGTACTGCTTTCCTGGGTTCTACTCAGGGGCACAGCCACGAAATCTCTGATGTTCCACCAAAAACATCCATCACAAAGAACATCCCGCAGCCGCCGGCTCGCGCCCTTTGCCCTAACAGAAAGAGCCACAGAAATTGGGAGATCTTCTGTGGATAACGTTGGTTGCCCCGTTCTCTTCTCCGTGGGCACCGAGGGAGCGCGGAAGCCTAGGCTGCGACGAGGGGGCAACCGGGCAGAGCGCGGGGATCTCAGGAAGGATTCGATGAGGCCCTGAGCAGGTCTCACCCCCACGGCTCGGTCCCAGACGCCGGAGCCAAGATCGGGAAGTGGGCGCTTAAGGGGCATGGGGCGGCGGCTCCGGTGTTGGTGCCGGCGGGGTGGGGGCGGTCACATCTTCCCGCCGCCCAATCCCTGGCCGTGGCCGTGGCCTCATGAATAAGCAACAAAGCGAAGCGCCCTCCCCCTGGCGTCCCAGACGGTGGGGGGAGCCGCGGCCGCTGCAGGGGCCACCGCGGGGATGCCGAGCGCGGGCGCCGCCGCACTCTGCGCGCTGCTGGGCTGAAGGCGCACAGGTGAGGACGGGCCCGGCTCCCGCCGCTCGGGCTGCCCGGGCTGCAGAGCCGGTGCTGGGGCAGAGAGGCAGCCCGGGAGCCCGGCGGCGCGGGGTGGCCACGGGAGCGGTGCAGCGCGGGGCGCGCCAGACGTGCGCCCTGCGCCCCGGCGGAACGCGGTGCCCGGCGCCGGGTGCGCGGGGGGCAGCTCGGAACGCGCCGGGCGCGGCGGGCAGGCCTGGGAGGACTCGCCGCACTCCTTGCTCCAGCCCAGCCTCTCGGCTCCGCACCAGCGAGCGGGCCTTTGTGCTGGCGGAGCTGGTCGAGCTGCCGGCTGCTTTTGTGTGGGCTTTTTCTTTCTTCTCTCCTTCCCCTCCCACTCTCGCAACGGTGATCGAGAAGTTCCCCCAAGACGACGATGTGCTCCTTTCAGCATCGATCGCGGTGTCCCCAGTGCCAGGGAGTGCCCAGCAGGCGAGTGGCGAACGGGGGCGGCGTTGGCCCCCGAAATGTGTTCTGCTACTTTGCAGAAAACAAACAGTTGAGTGTTTAGCGCAGAGGTGTCACGGAACCCCCTGGCTCAGACTCTGACCCCGTTCCCCAAGACGCGGCAGGAGGATGCTAATTACAGAGGTCACTTAACTGGGAAAGGGCCGCGGGTTAGACGCGGAGGAGGTCAGGCTCTGCCCAAGACTCCTGAATGGTTGGGAGGTGCAGCCTGGAGGTGCCCAGATGTCGCGTGGGCACCCTGGTCGCTGACGGAACACGACCTGAATAGAACCCAAACGTGGAGACCCGCGAGAAAGATGTCGGGGCACAGAAAATTGAGGACCCCGAAGTGTTTGAGTGCTCAAAGATGAGAAATCTTTGACTTCCCAAGTTGATCCCGAATATCTGCGGGGAGCTTGGCACCGAATTTCGGTGCAGAGCAGAGGTGAAGGAGAGAAGAGGCTGCCCGATTTCTCAGGAAGTTTTTAGTTTGAAACTTAAGGGGGAGTGGGAGCGGTTCTCACAACTATCCAGGGAGCTCTGGAGGCTTTGTGTAGAGTGTAAAATGGGGCGGGGGTGATCTTTAGACTCTGCGTGTCTCCCTCTTTTTTGTGTGCATTTTCTTGTGCATGATGCTGTTGGGATCCAAGACTGACTTCTGCGGACTGATTTCTCCTAATTTGCCCGCGTAACCCCACTGTATTGAAAGAAACTCCGAACACCATTGAGATCTTCAGTGTCAGAACATTGTTGCCTTTTATACACAGTGAAGATTTAAGGTTTATTTGGATTATTCTCAAGAGTAGGGATGAAATATGCTACTTTTGTCATAACAGTGGGCCAGACACTTAGGCTGCAGACTTGATATTGATTGTGTTTATTTACAAAATTCCCAAGACTCACCGAGTGTCAGGTAGCTACAGCAACCGAGCCAATTAGGAAGAGGTGGATTTATCTTTGTTTTCATGGGCAGCTTCTTATCATTATCTCCCAGCATTTTCTGCTTTATTTTTCAATATCATAATTTTGCTTTATAGAAATGGCTTGATACTAAATATAAAAATGGAATCAAAATAAGAAAGATGAACTTATGGAAAATTTCCACTTTCATCTAAAAGTCTGTTTCACTCAATTCAGCAAATATTTGCCTGAAAAGTTGTGTCATGAAATTTTTTTTGTTTTGAGTTTCGCTTATTTGCACATAGAAAAGCTTTTTTTTCCACAACTCCCTCCCTCCCCCCATAGGGAACTTGGATTTAATGTACACATGAAAATACCTTCCCTAATTAAGGTGTGTGGCCAATCCTGTTTTCCCATCTTGTCTTTACTTAGTGGTTATAAGAAAAGCATCTGAATCTACTTTCATCATGAGATGTTAGATATTGTGTTGATTCCTTGAAATGTCTACCTTGAGACTACCGTCCCCCTTAATGTGCTAACCAGCACATAATGATCTCAAGCAAATGAAGTTTGAGAACCACAAAGAAGAGAAATGAAGTGGGCAATTAGCTTACTAAAAAGAACTAACTAATGAGAGAATGTGAACTTGCTAAAGATTGATTAGGGTTGAAATCTGCAACATCAGATAAATCCCTGGTCACTTAAACTCCATAAAAGAAAAGGCTCTCTCTGGGGAAAAATGTGACTGATGTCTGGATGCTTTGAATTGCTTATATGTCTGTGGTTCAAGGGAACTGTGCCTGTCACCACACTGGTTTGTCTTACATTGTAGGATATTTTAAAACTTTTCCCTCAAACTCTTTTCATGTCTAGTACCATGATTTTTGTCTGTCTTCTATCCTTGGAAGTAATAGAAAGATTATCATTTCTATTTTGCAAGGAATTGAGTCCCTATGACTTGACTAAGGTAAAGCTGGAGTTTGAGTTTTCAAACCTTCAAGTGTAGGTTCTTTTACCAGGATGATGCCAAACTTGTGATGCCTATATGCAGAATTTAGTCTTGGACTGCAAGCATGGAGAAATGATTTGCTTGTTGTAGCTAGAGTAACCTATTGACTCCAGCCTTCTTACTCCCTTCCTTGTTAGTATCGATGATGCTTTTCTCCTGTGATCCCTATGATTCTTTGTTGTTCCTCCAATTTCTGTTCAAACACACTGGTCGAACATATGGCTGAGAGGCTCATCTGTCATTCCCATTATTTACTTTCTAGTGAAGGATGACTGGGGCCAGATCTTAAAACCAATCTATCAGGCCAGTGACAATTGCCAATAGCACTGTGAGTTGTAGTGCCTTAATGCTTTCTTCCATGTCTGGGTTCAAGGGTCTGAATCTTGATAAGCTCAGCTTTCAACAAACAAAATTGTGTTGGTAAGGAAAGCCTTAAGGTGTACAAAGAGAAAAGGTAAGCCAAGGAGAAATTAACCATTGAGGATCAGGGAAAAACACAAAATAGAAAGAAACAAACACAAGAGTTTCCTTTTCTTTTTATCAAAGAATCACTGGATTTTGAGAGATGTGATAACAATTAGAAAACTAATTGATCTGAAACTCTGAGTCTTGACACTTGTTACACCAATTTTTTTTTTTGGCTTTGTGGGCCACACCCAGCGATGCTCAGGGGTTACTCCTGGCTCATGTACTCAGGAATCACTCCTGGCGGTTCTCAGGGGATCATATGGGATGCTGGGAATCGAACCTGTATCGGCCATGTTGGCTGCATGCAAGGCAAATGCCCTACCCGCTGTGCTATCACTCCATCCCCCCCAATTGTTTTTTTTTAATTTTTTAATTTTATAAAGTAGTTCACAATATTTGATTACATTTAATATTCAAACACCAATCCCAGCACCATACAGCTTCCCACCATCATATTTTGGGTGTTTCCATCCTGTACCCCAATCTCTGCCCCAAAACATAACCAAAATAATATAATATTTCCTTCTAACATTGGTTGCTCCTACTTTGTTTTATTTTTTTAAATTTATTTTTGCCTTTTTGGGTCACACCTGGCGATGCTCAGGGGTTACTCCTGGCTCATGCACTCAGGAATTGCTCCTGGCGATGCTCGGGGGACCATATGGGATGCTGGGAATCGAACCTGTGTTGGCCATGTTGGCTGCGTGCAGGGCAAATGCCCTACTCGCTGTGCTATCGCTCCAGCCCCAGTTGCTCCTAATTTGAATCCCATCAAAAGTGGTGTGGTGCTCTTGGAGTATAGGTAAGGTGTGTCCTCAGAAGTGTTGTGTGGCCGCAAATGTGGCTGCACAGTCCAGATAAAGGATTATTTGTGGGTGAGGCTTGACTTGAGCATGTGGAGACAGACTGTGAGCATGGTGGTGGTTGAGTTGTGGAGGTTTTTGGCTGCCGGGGCTGGGTCCAGTGGGTTGGGAAGGGCTCTCACCTGCACCCCTCTGAAGTGCCCTGAGTGAAAAAGCCTGGTGCAGGGTCCAGCCCAGGCATGGTTATGGTATCATGTTATGCTCCCTTATGGGAGAGAAGGACATGTGATCTGGATGGTAGACAATGACAAGTTTATCTGGCGCCAGCCAGAGGTGGCTTATGGGTGTGACTGCTGAGTTGCTGCACCAATTGGTTTTTAAAAATAAAATTAATTCTGAAAAACTGAAATATAGCTCAAATAAGAATGCAGAGGTTAACACTATTTATTTTCTTTTTGGGTCACACCTGGTGATGCACAGGGGTTACCCCTGGCTCATGCATTCAGGAATTACTACTGGCGGTGCTCAGGGGACCATATGGGATGCTGGGAATTGAACCCAGGTCGGCTGCGTGCAAGGCACATGCCCTACCTGCTGTGCTATCGCTCCAGCCCTAGTTAACACTATTTTTAAAGTTACCCCTTGAATAAGAAGCCCAAACTGACTGGGTGCTTGAAGGAAACTATAGTTAGTTGTTATTTTGTGGGTTTTGTGTGTGTATGTGTGTGTGTGTGTAGGTTGGATGAAGGGGCTTTATCCAGCAGTGCTCAGGGTTTACTCCTGGCTCAGTGCTCAGGGATCACTCCTGGTGATGCTCAGGAAACCATATAGGATGCTGGGAATTAGACACGGGTTGGCTGCATACGAAGCAAGCAACTTCTGCTCTCTCTTCATTCCCCAAAGTACAAGTACTTTTGTTTTCATGGACACATCATAGATGTCATTGAAAAATCTTACAATAGACAGCTCAATGGTCTGAGCATATGCTTTGCATGTAGGAATTCCAGGTTCAATCTCATGTCCCCCAAGCAAAGAGCTGGTAATTACATTTAATATTCAAACACCAATCCCAGCACCATATAGCTTCCCACCATTGTATTTTGGGTGTTTCCTTCCTGTACCCCAATCCCTGCCCCAAAACAGAACCAAAATAACCTGACCACCATCAAAACAAAAACAAAACAAAACCCCTCAAAACAAAAACAAAATATTAAAATATCAAATGGGGGCTCCAGACTTTCTTTTCCACATTCTTTTTTTTTTAACTTTTCTAAGGATCATTTATTTATTTATTTTTTCTGTTTCTATTATTTAAATTTTTAAAAAATTTTTTATTAGTGAGACTCCATGAG